TGCTCACCCTTTGCCGATATTGTCCCATCAACAAAGGGATTAGTGAACTAAATTACACATTTTTTTAGGTGGTAGAGTGCATACTCGTCTCTGGCCAATACTCTTCCGTTGACACATCAGTTAGTGACATAAGTTTCATAATTATCAGAGATAACAGAAAAACATCTATGCGGGCAAGTACATTGGCATGCTTTGTTGTTCCATAAATAGGTAAACTCCTCATCATGCACATATATATATATATATATATATATATATATATATTATTTTCATTCTTCATAACATGCATTATTTTCTTATGCGACTCTTTGCATTCATTTACCAATGAATAATTACGCATTTACTTGAATCTAGAGCTAATATGTTCACCTTTACTAAAATCTGAATATTATGCAATAATCTATATATGCGTCTCAACTATAATTTAAATGTAATTCAATAATCTAATAATTTTATAAAAAATTCAATGTGCAACTATTTAACATGCATCCTTTCTAACAATATGAAGAATCCTTTATAATCAAAATGTCACAAGAGCATAACATAAATGAAATCAAGCATAAATTTAGAAATAATAAAAATTACTGAAATTTTAAAATATAACTACTCAACTTTTAGGAGACTATTTATGTGTTTAATCCTTCACCAAATCACACACACACATAAATATATATATATATATATATATATAGAAAAAACCCAAGGGCTAATATATTAAAGCGGAAAAGATACAAAAAGGTTGTATGAGAAGGCCTAAAAGAAAGCCCAACTCATACAATACAACACACACAAACCCAAATAAAGAAAGATACATAAAGGTAAAAAATAAAAAAAATAAAAAATAAAAAATAAAAACCACCAAATTGTGCAAAAGTGCTAAGGACATCCCACTTTAGTTCTCCCTCTGCCTCTATTCCTCGGAAGTGAGCCGGCTAACAAATTGATAAGGTGAGTATCATTGCTTAGAGTAATCAAAGTATAATCCATCAGATTCCTGAACTCAAATAGGTCTCCATTCTTCTTCTTCCTCTTGGATGTGTAGACATGTCATTCCTCATCCAATGATTGACTCATCTGATCAGTAAATTCCAAAGTTGATCAGGCAGGTGTGGGCTGTTGCTCATCATGATCCCTATAAGTCTGAGTAACATTAACATTTTGCTTGAGCTGATGAGGCGGTAGTGAAGCAGTAAAAGTATTGCCACCTATAATATTTGTGATAGGTTCTAGGATAGGTGAGGTCTGAAGAATCTCGCTCTCCCCCATGATGAAAGGTCCCAAAGACATAGAAGCTACAACATTGTGAGGGGACTGAATGGCTGTCATATTGTCTGCGAGAATAATGGCATCTTCATGGGTATCCTTTTGTACTTAGAGATGATCAGGAGGGGATGAATTCATTGCTTCTGGCGGAGCACTGTGCTTTTTTTATCTGAGGTGGGGTGTAGATGGTGGTATTGAAAACTGGAGTGACAGAACATATGACGGTTTGAACAATACGAAGGAAAAGACTCAATCACTACCTTTTGTCATTATCCATGACGTTGTGTGCCCAACCAAATTTTCTCAGAAGCGGATGAAATGATGTCTCTTTCAACAAGTACTCTGGCTTCAGATGGACGAGAAATATTGAAAGTAGGAATGTCTGTTTTGAGTGGCTTACCATAAGGTGAGAGAATAGAGTAAAATACTTTTTTAGTAAAGTAATGAAATTTCAAACCAGGGAGGCAAATCCAAACCGGAATGATTGGTGTTTTCGTCTGTGGGTCGAAATTCACAGACCATTTCAGAGTCTTTATTATTTTGTTATCAATTCAAATTATTCTTCTCGCAAATAAGCACGTGCAATCCTCTTCATTATTAATTGTATAAGAATATGACGTCCTTCTAACAGTTCCATTTTTCACTTCCCAACAAGGTGCATAAGCTCAAACTTCCTGTGAATTAGCTCCATTTTGGGATGACCATACAGAAATTTCCCGACCAAATTCAGTCGATAGGAGGAAGTAAGTTGAATACCTTCAGTTTTAATAAAAAAGATGGCAGACTTTCCATTCTTCCTACCAGATTTTTTAATGTCCTCCGCCCACTCAAACGGAGGGAAAGAACATGATTTAAGTGTACCGGAGGCGTGGGCACCCGCAAGGGCAGCAGCATATGATCTGTCCGAAGCCATTCCCAATAGAGGTAGGAGCGGCGTTAAGAACAGTGAAGACAGCAAATCAGAGAGCAACCTCCGAAACCAGAAACGGGAGCAAACTGAAAGCCCCTGCAACGGCTCGAGCCCGAGGACCGACCTGCTCCAACGGCGGTTTCGGATTGCGTAGGAAGCTGGAAAGCACTGCAACCAATACCAAGAGCGATGGCTGAGCCCGACGCAGCAGTTGACGCACGAATAGCGACGACAAACGATGCACCGGCGGCAGCGACGCACTTAGACAGCGGCGACAGCAGCGAAAATGACGTAAATGGCGAAATTGAAAGAGCATATCTAGATTGACGAAGAGCTACAGTGGAGTAATAACCAAGGATCGCCATGGTGAAACCCTAGCAGTGTGCTAAATATTTGAGTATCACACCCTACACACGGAAGGATTCGAACACGTGACCTGAGGGGAATTACAACCTTCAGAGAGGCTACGCTACCAATAGGTCACGGTACGCGCCTGCGCAAGCGCGCGCGCCCACACACACACACACACACACACACACACACACACACATATATAAATTAAGGATCCCATTATCGTGTGTGTATTGTATTTCTTTTATTTTCTAGTTAGGATTCCTTTTCCGGATTTATGTATCTTTCGTTTTATATTAACGCGTAGGGAGACGATATATAGATATATATATTGATAAAATCATAAACATACCCCTAATCACTTATCTTTTTTTTGAAAACTTCACAATCCAAAATTACTATTCTTTTTTTATCAAAAAGTTTCTAAATCTAAGATTATTAATTTATAATGTTAATATTAGTTTAGTATCATTTTAATTAAAATAAAATATATAAATAAAATTATAGATCTTACCATCACATTCATTGTTGATTAATCTTCTCTTTAAGCGAAAATATTTTTCTGCCCATACTTCTGATATTAAATCCTAATTCAATACTTAAATAATGAACTTAAAAGTTAAAACTAAACCCTTACCTCATATGCTAAGATCGGGCTTCTTACTCCCACACGAAAGTAGCTCTTCTTGTCTATCTGGCTTGGTTCAATAATAACAACACGTGAGTTGCTCGATTCTTCACCTTTTTTCATGAAAGGCTTTTTCTTTCCTTCTCAGAGGACATGCACTGATCCTACAAGAAGTTTGAAATCATCATTCTTTCCCCTTCACCTTCATGCTTCACACTTGGGCTCAAAATCTAGGGCCGGGTTTGGTCTTCACACACGAGTCTTCTGTTTCTCCCTTTTCCTATGTAAGAAGCCTCACACCAAATACACGGCAATGAAGCTTTCATTCCTTCATGCAAACAACACCGCTCGATTTCAGCGTCGTCTCCCGTGGTTTTGACGCCTACAAGTAACGCAATAGGTAGATCCCTCACATCACTTCTTCATGCACAGGCTTCTTCCTTCTTTTCCACTTCATATTTCTTTTTTGCTCTGACTCTCGATCCCCTCTCCTTACGTTTCTGTCATTCTAGGTTCGAATGGGGACATTTGAATGTTTAAAATGAAATAGTCAAGATTGTTACTCCCTTTCAAACCGAAACAAACCCCATAAAAAAATTTTTCTTCTATCTTATTTTATTTTTATTTATTTATTATCTTTTAATTTTCTTTCTTTTTCCCATTATTACACATTTCAACTCCAAAAAATAAAATTCTTCACATGCCAGATGAATAGATGCATTTATTAGACGATTTATTTTGTTTGTCACTATCTCAATGTTATTTAACGTATCAAATGCACGTCAACATCCTTACTTATCACTGTGTAATTTGTTAGAGTAAAATAATCAATTTTCACTTTGAATATGCTTATTGTTATCATTAATATTAAGTCTAGACTGTTTATGAAAATTTTGCCAACTGTTATAAATAGTAAGCCTTGCATTGCTGATGAAAATGATATAACATGAAATAAAAAAGAGTTTTCTTACAGCAACCCTTTTAAGGGTTGATTCCTCACTTGCTACTAATCATGAGGCTTCTCTTCCCAAGGTATATATAATCATTTTTCTTCCAAATCTTTTCTTCTCTTTACCTTCCTATTATTTGGTTAAAATTCATATTTTCTTCTCAACAAACCATGATTAAAAGTTTCACAATGTCCTACACTATCCTACTCATCAACATCCACCGGTGCCATCATGCACCATCACCTACTGTCAATCAACAAAACTAGCAATAAACAGTTATTTCTCAATCCCAACACCATTCATGATTAGTGATTACTCCAAAGAAACCATTTAAACGACACCCTAAAGGGATCCTTCTAGTTCATCGTATGGATGTGAAGGGTTAATCTTCTGATGTTCTTCATTGCCCAAAGTCTATACACCAATATAGATTTTTTGCAAGACTAAGTTTAACAGACCATAAAAGGATCTTACTGACATATTTGATAAAATAACTTACAATATGTGAGCACAAGTTAGCTTAAGCAAAGGTGCACTGAGGGGATTAGAAGTTTTGGAAATGTCCCCCCGTCATTAAAGCTTGGCAGCGCAACTTTCCTCTTGGAATTTGTTATCGAAAAAGCAAACTTTAGGAATTCGTACTCCACCAGGAAAGTATAAATATTGGTTTTGGAGATCTGTAATTATTGTAGGTCAACTCACTTTGCTTTGATTGGTGCATTATTGAGTACACCAGTCAAAATTATTTGCTGAATCTTCAAATTAGTTGGCTTTTATCCATAACAGAATCAAACAGTCTAGCAATAATATTGCAGAATCATACCAGTAAATGGTGCAACTTCAGAAGATATAGCAGCAGTAGCTATGAAAATTCTGATGGAAAAGATGCCACCCATACCTTTTGCCGTGCCCTTCTAATACTAAGCCTACCATCTTCAGCACATTTGAAAACTACTTTGCACAATGCCTAAAATGAAAAAGGAGTTTTGTAATTGCTAGCTCAGTATAGCAAAGGTAAAAGGATGTAATGGCACATGTATCAGTAAGAACTCACTTGTATGTTCTCCTTGGTCAGCCTGTTTCAGTTTTAGGAGAAAAGTACCAATAATATCAGACACCATAGGAAGGCTCAATCAGTTATGATAACTAAATTATTGACAGGATAAAGTAATTTATAGAGAGCAAAGAACAAGATACTTACGGTGGGATTGATGCAATTAGTCGCTGATCATCAGGAATTGGGTTTATGCCCAAAGGAGATGAAACTATTGCATTTTCTATTTCTTTTAAAGTCTGCAATAAAGGGTATAAAATCAATCATCAATCAAAATGCTAAACAAACAAATCGACTATCAATTGTGCAATCTATCTTAGCCTAAATTCTCGAGAATTTCATTTCAAGCTAGTGTGCTAGCATTTTCCACATCTGTAATAAGATGAACTGTTAACATAAAATCTCCGGAATTAGCCTAATTCAAGGTTCAAATCAACTTCCCTAACTCTAGATTTTAAGCACCACAGATTAAACAAACCCAAGTTCCATTACATCCCTTAATTCATGTAGCATGGGCTAGCACGCAGCCTTGACATAGAGATGGTCATTTCATTAAAATTAAATAAACGTGCAACATAATCAGACATGATATTCACCAAATAAACAGTTTCACATGATTTACCGTCCTGACCATGCCCTTTTTTTTTTTTTTTTTTTTTTTTTTTTTTTTTTTTTGTCAAAATCCTGATATGGCCAATATGCCTACTTTTTTACACATTACACAGCTATAGCAGAGCTTAATTTATCAAAACATTTCCCAGTATGTAATTCCAAACTAAAATTTTAAAAAAGAATAACACAAGGGAATGGTTAACTAAGCTGAATCTAAAATTTTATGGTTACGGTAGGATGCAAGGAGACTAGGAGAGGACCTTTCAGTTCAAAAGAACAAAAATTTCAACAATGCTTATGCATGAATTCTAGTCATATTCAAGTAGAGGACCGCACTGAATCAGAGGAAAAGGCGAGCGTGTCTGCACGTGAAATAATGAAAATAATTTACAATTTTTAATATACCAAGTAAGAAATCAAATGAATAAATTTACGAATAAATTTACAATTTTTAATCTAAAGAATATCTAAGTTTACAAATAAAATCCATAGGGCTCTAGGAATGTTTGCTAAGCTATTTCTTTCAACATACATGTTACACATAAATTATTGTGATATATGTATTCCTTATCGAGCGGATGCAACTTTAATGCCAAGAAAGACTTGCCAAATTATCGAACATCGAGCAAATCTTTTTCATTAAACTCTGAATTTCTTTCAAGTCATTATTTCTCCTTATAATATTTTCAATATAAAATAGTAGTAATGAGGTTCCACTTGAAAGCCATGAATTTCACAAAAAATGTATGAACTCCTGAGTTTTAATTATGTCTCATGTCAAGCATTATCTCCACAAACCTTTTGAACTATGCCATTGAAAATGGCCTCAACTCATACAATGTGTTTTTTATATTGTATATCTTCTATTCTGTATTTAATCTACTGATGGGATCTTCATATATACTTCTTCCACCAAATTTCCATATAAGAAGACATTCTTCACATCACATTATTGCATTTTCCACTCCTTGCTAACTACTAAAAATAATAGAACTCAAATACTGTTCATTTTAGCAAGTTGAGCAGAAGTTTCAAGATAATTAATCACATATGTTATAATGTAATCTTTGCCACTAGTTTTACTTCATAAATTCTCGTTAACCATCAGATTTATACTTTAAAGTAAAAATTTATCAAAATGATACTTTTCAATGAAGTAACATTAGCAAAAATATACATCTTTCACGTGGAGAGATGATGGCATTTGTACCCATTTTTTTATGGGATAATAACCAATGAAAACACATCTAATAGCTAGATAATCAATTTTGCTACACTTTGAAAAAGTGTATGAACAAGCATAATACCTTGAAATATTTTGTGAGCAAAATTATTTGACATATGAAATGCGATAGAACTTGCTCAAAACTTGTCTGAGATATTTGAAATAAGGGACCTCAGTAGGTAGCCAGTTTATGATGGGGATGGCTATTAAAGCTGTTTTTCACAATATTAATTTGAGATATTTTTCTCAAAAATCAGGTAACTGATTGTTCTTTCATTCAACAACATTTTTTATTGAGATATATACGCACAAGAGGGATGTCTTATTCCTTATTCTTGGAAGGGCAAGGAAAGAATAATTAAATTCATCGTTGGCATTGCTAAATCAAACTCTTTACAACACAATTGATTCACGATTATATTGAGAAAGTTGGGAATGATGATAATTACATCAATTTTGGCTTTTTGTAAAAAATATATATAATGCATAGGCACAATCATTGATAAAAGAAATAAATTACCAAGCCATAATGATGTTGACAAAAAACATACTACCAAGTCCCATAGATGTATGATATAAAAGATAGAGCCTGAATATTACAATAACTGAGATATAACAAAGCTTCTTATGACATTCATTGAATAATTTGTACATTTGATAATCTTTGGGTCATAAACATCACAATGAAATTTTTTTATATTGATTTCTTTGAAAAATGAAGGAAACAAGATTTTAAAATTAATAAATGATGGGTATGCTAATGATGGTGTTGAAGCCAAGTTTTTTTTCTTTAATAGATTTAAATGTTTATGAGGGAAGAGATAATAATGAAGGGTTTATGGAGTTTTCTCAATCATTAGAGTTCTCATTTTGATAGAGGCCATCTATTTTTCTAACAAGCCCAATCGTTCTCCAGCCTTGTTGGCGCGAGAGCTTCCTGCATTGGAGCCTTGTCGTGATCCAAAAAACAATTTCGAGACCTCTGCTACAATCCCACGACTAACTCCCGCACTAGACTAGACACAGCAGTCTTCTGGCACATGGGACAGGTTCGAAACAGTAAATTGAGGGCAGGTCGACCTTCCATATGTAAATTTACCACCTCCTTATGAGAGTAGGCCCGCTCCTTCTTAACCTAGGCTTATATATTTGCTTTTCATTATTAGATTTTCAGTTCTTGGTGAATGTTTTCTAACAAGACAGCCACCGACGACCTCTTTCTCCTTTATAGGGTTGTGCCCAACAATAGGTGGTGCTCCGACAATAGATTGCATAAGGTATTTATATCCTTCCAAGAGATCAAGTGGTGCTCCGGCTGTAGCTCATCGCCACGGAGGTATTTATGTCCGACTTTTTCATCCTAAAAATCCCTTGCCTTACTTTTTTACCGCTGTCCAACCATCCATCATCTCTGCCGCAGCCTAGAACAGTACTTTCCAGGCAGTTTACCAGCTGTCCAGCCCCTCACCCTCGCTGACACCACCCAAGACAGCCCGCCATCTAGCTGTTTCAGCAGTTTCTCACCTCCCCTTGATGTCACCATCACCATCGCTCTTTTGCTACCTCTCTAGAGGTTCAAACCTAACAGATCACCATCCCTACTAGGAGATCTACTCTAGCCGTGTCTTGAGTCGTGTTGTTGTTATTTCTCGTTTCAACACGTCGCGTCATGTCTGTTTTGGTTTTCCCTTTCATGTATATTGGCTGTAACTCCAACATCACCTGTTCTTGGAAGACACAATAAGGAAGAAAAAATAAAACACTTCACTTGAAATTTTTAGTTGACCTTTGAATGGATACCAAATTGAAAAATAATTTAGATATATGAATGAGATTTTGAAGTGCAAAATTTTTTTTATATGAATATTTCTTTGACCATCCAAGATGGTGGGGAATTCACTACTCATAGTTATTTTCTTGTTACTATAGCATAAAGTATAAGAAATAAATTTATAAGATTTCATTATATGATCTATAGCTCCCAAAACAAAAATCCATGAGCCATAAATAGACATCCATGAGACTTCAAAAACATGAGGAAGAGAAATAAAACCAACAGTAATAGACTATTAAGTACCTATTGTAGAAATTTTTTAAATGTCTCTAGAAATCCTTTTCCTTTGTTGTGTAAAAAGCCTAATATTCATCTTCCACTTAAGGCCCGTGAATCAATTAAGACAGCCTTAGATAGTTCTTAATATTAAATCAGTATCATGATTGGATATTTTACTGCTTGTCCATTGGATTTAGATTGTATCCCTCAATCCCAAAAGAACCCGAGACCAAGGGTATGTAGATAATGTTATCATTGTTCATGTTCAAGAAAAAAAAATACAGTAATGCAACGACGAAGGCTACAACAATGGACCAATTTACAGAAATACAAATAAGAAAGCTATAATAATCAGAAATGTTCCTAGCAATGCAACGACCAAAGTTGCAAATGCAGAAAATTTGAGTTAAAGAAAGAAACATTTACACATGAAGGCATGTAAGAGCTTTAAGACTACACAGCATTGAAGGCTGCAATTTATGCAAATGCTAAGAAAAAGGTCCAAGACTCTAATACCATGACAAAAATTAGAGAGAGCTGGTTATGATTCAGAATCTATGGTGTTCATACAACTCGAGAAAAGCTTCAAATTAACAATAGACAAAATCAAGAAGTAAGAACTAAAATATAATTGTAAGTCCACAGATTGATAAGTCGGCAGAATAGTTATGATAGTCACAAATTGATGAGTAAGCACCAGAGATCCCATTAATCAACGAGAAGAAAGCAGAAGTGAATGGAATAAGGGCAGAAAGCTTGGTAAGTGTAGATCCAAGCTGAAGGAAATCATATAAGGATTTAACAAGTAATTCATTACATTATATATTGTTACATCTAGAATCTTAGCATAAAATTGACTCCATGATAATTAAGTCCATTCTTCGACCAAAGTGATTTTTCTTAACCATTTCTTCATTAATCTCTTATTATACTCTTCGTAACGTTCACTATGTGACTTGTAAAATTGATTAGATTTGAAGTTATATATGATCTTCAACCACACACAAACCCACCCCACCCCAAGTCAAACACAAGAAAATCACAAATTCTTTTAAGTTTCCTCAAAAGCTTATACAAGGAAATATATAAAACTTCTTAAATATAGAATTTATGAATGAAATAACTTTAGCTATGCAGGCAATTGCAGATTTTAGAAATAGAATTTAGTTACATTGGGATCATAAGGTGTCACTGAGAGAGTGTGTGCATCTATAGCAGAAACAACAGCAACACGATTTAATGGCATTTTTACACCACGTGCCTCAACAATTATATGATCAAGCATCCCTGTCAAAAAGTTGCATGAGTAAACATTGAAACAACAAAGTTGAAAGTATAGACAGTCTCCATTAAAAAATAAAATGTAAAAGTGCACCTGTAGATGCTCTTCCTGTTCGAATTTTACTCAACTCTCTAGATAAAGCAGCAATTGCTGCCTCCATTAAAGAGAGTGTACTTGATTTTACAGAAGGCCCAATGTCAGGAACAACTTGAATGGTAACATTATTACTCTCATCCTCTGCTAAAATCAAATAGAAAGCAATCAGATTATGCAAAATCAAATACCGTAACAAAATGTAAAAAGTAAAACCATAACCAGCTGCAACAAACTTCATCTAAGTTCTAGTCATGTGCTTCCATCGTATCAAATAAAATGTATTTCCATATAAGGGAAGAGAAAACAAGCTTGATCACCAAGCGGAACTACCAATGCTCGCTTGGAAAGCTTCAACCCAAGGCAATAGTAAGATGATAAACATGCATCATGAAGCAGTTTGAATGGTAGATCATTGTAAGTAAAGCTGAAAAAAAATTAAAAATACATGCATATCAATTTATAAGTTCATGACAGGAAAATCACAGATAATAAAAACATCGCTGCAATACATGAACAAGTCTGTGTGCATCAACCCATATTAGACAATGCAATGGTAAGAATCTTCAAGAGATGGGTGCATCTTCTATACATAACGATTCATATCTTTGATAATTTGACAAAATTACCTGTTGAGATTGTGACAAACCTGTTAACCATTATCAAGATAAACTTGATCGCTAAGCTCATGTAGAACTAGCCAGACTCATAGGGAACTTGCTATATTGCTCAACAGCAATTTACCCAAGCCCAGGAGCTGCTCAACAGCTTTCTGCTAGAATAACGAACAACTTCCTCCTTAACTAACCGACCGAGTATCAATCCAAGTTCTTAGGCTGCATAACTATTTTATTTTAAATAGAATAGCCAATTGTTTCACTCTGTACTTTTTTTGTGACACATTATAGTATTTCCTGCAACGCTCAAATCTCAATCCTTGCCTATAAATAAGAGGTCATAAGGAAAGCATGGGTTAAACAATCACGGTTACACAATTCTACACAACCTAGTCAAAAATTACTATATTATTGAGCTTTATTGTGGATTCCCCTTACTCTCTTCCATGCTCTTCTCTCTGCACTCCTCTCTTTTTGTCTGTTCTAAATAAGGTTATTGCGTAAATCATTAACAGACAAATCAAGATTTAACACATGGTGCATTAATATGACTAAAATAGGCCACTGACAGGGAGTTCATTCAAGATCGAGGATTCTCATGCTTGATTGCATGACTTTGTTTGCCACATCATGAGCATCAACATGCCAAATTCCTACTTGGAATAACATATGGAACATAATACCCTCCAGCTAGTAAAATGACAAGAGAAGCATTCTTATATTGTCCATATATTTCTCTTCATTGGGTTGTGACGTGCATTAAACACATTTGTAATTTATTTCTCAAACGTATTGTTGTCAGGGACAAGAAAGGTTGTACTTAGCGAGACAAAATGTTTAATTTGTGGTTATAAATTTTAAAAATCCAAGCCTTTGCTTGAATAAAGTTTTCAAAACTAAAAATAAAGAAAATCAACAACAAAAAAAATTGAACAAATTAAATAAATGCTAAAATGAAATTATTATTATCCATGAAATATTACAATATAGGGTTTTTTTTGTATATGTTACATCATCTCTACAAAAATCAATCTTTGATTATGATGAACATAAATTCTTTTTAATAAAATATTTATGTAATTTGTAAATTGATAGGTCAGGAATCAAGAAAATAGATGAAAATTATAAGGTCATTTGATTTATATGAAAAAATAAGTTCTTCGCCACAAAATTCTATAGAAATATAGAAAAGCAGTTGAGATTTATTATTTGTTTAAAGTTCCAAGCAGATTTCAATAAAGATTAAATGCACATGCCTTGGTATGTTGTCAATTCCACGATTTTATTACTTTTTAAACGATATGTTTTCTATCAAAGAGAAAAACAAGTTTGATTATCAGTTTACCAATCCTCTACACATCACATAGATGCACTTCATATTTCAGTCGATAGGTCCCGCTTCCTTGAAAAAATCAATGTTTAAAATTGTGTAATTGGGTATTCAAACATTTTCCATTAGTTAGACGAGGCATGAACCTTGAGGCGATCTGAAGCATAAGCCTCACAAGTTCAAAATTACGTTGTCAAAATAAATGGATAAAAAAATATATACTAGTGTCACAAGTTATAAACATATTAAAGGAAGACGTTAATATCATAACATGATAAAAAATGATAAATTGCCCAAAATATCAAAGTAAGAATAAAATAATTATAGGATGAAAGATTTTTTACTCCTATTGTTCAACATAAAAACATTCATAGATATAAATAAGAAAATAAAAAATAATCAAAAGCCCTCAACACTCTCATCACTTAAGGGATCTTCATTGAAATCATCATATCATAATATATAGCTTCTCCCATGTCTCTTCCTCAGTTGAGTCTAAGTTATCCTATTCTACTTTTTCTTCAATCTCGATCATATTTTTTTCTCAATTCAGCTATAAAAAAATTAATCAATAAGGCAACAGAAAAATTAACATTCAAGTCAACGTCAAATACTAAGTTTTTTTAAAAAATCTTATCTTTTCAACTTTTGTTGTCTAGTTCTGGATGTGCTACCTCTGTGTTTGTCTCCACTAAAGAAATCAACATTCAGATTTTCTTGTTGTAACTCAGCTGGATATACCATATTATCCTCATCTACAAAAAATGATCATATATGGTAGATCTTCACAAAGAGTAGAGGATCTTCGCCATCCTTCAAACCTCTTTTTTTTTATTTCAATTTTTCAATCTCTTGTTGTACATAACATACATCAAGGAAACTCGTGAAATAATTTCTCTTTTTTGTGAAAACATCATTATACATAATCAAATTATGCTCAAAACCAGTTGATGAGCATATAATCGTCATCCTTCAAATCTCATTTTTTAAATTCTTCTCTCTCAATCTGTTGTAGTACATAATATTGTCGGCGCTTAAAAAGGGGGGAAGAGTTTGAATGTTTGGGGGTCGCCCGTAAGAAGCTGTCGGTCGCCGGAATCTAAATCCCGTCGCCCGCTTCGGAAGGACTCTTTAATTTACATATATATATATATATAATTTTAGTAGGTTGCAGCATTATTATGATGAGAAGTATATTTAAGAACACCCAAACATATAATGGAAAGGTAGTATGAGAAGTATATTAAGAACATCTAAGGAAGGAGCATTTTGGTCATTTAGGAATAATTTTTCTATCTGATCGAATGATCTATATTGATCTCATGATCAAATGAAGATTATTTAATGATTTGAGTGATTTAATGACCTTCGAATTGAGTGATTTTTGTCTCGTTGGATTCCTCTCGTTGAGATGCTCAATTTTACTATAAATAACTCAAATTTGGAATTCAATTGATTATTCAATAGATGATACAAAACATCTAAAAATGCTTTAAAAGTCTGATCTGGGCTTGATTGGACTCGGATAAATTCAATTTTGGTATCATCAGGTTTGTCTTGTTGAGATGATTAACTTGACCATAAACTTGTTGAGATCAAACCCCCTAAGAGATCTTGAATTTGAATCTATAACATTTATCACTTAAAAGTTCCTCGAGATTCTTGTTAAATGATAAAAATTTATTGACGACCAATTACAAACCTGTTTATTGTTTATTATAGAGAATGTTTTTGGCTGAAATAAATTGTATAATAAAATAATAAATAATAAGCAGCTATCAAGAAAATAATAAAAAAATAATTGATATAAGAATATAAAATATAAATTTTAAATATTATTAATAATTTTTCTGTAGCTTTTGATTTTCAATATTATTTTAAAATGTATTTTATATTAAATATTATCTTAAATGAGTAGGTTCGTGGGTTTGCGAGATGAGTCCAGGTTGGCCCAAATTTGAGTTGTCAGTCTGCGAGTTGACGACTTAGGGCCCGTTTAGAGCAGCTTATAAGTGCGGCGGTGTTTTTGAAAACACCGCTTAACCATTTTATTTGTGAGTTTTTGAAAACACTGTTTACCACGTTTGAGTTTTTACACTAAAAGCAGGCTGCGCATCAAGACCCGCGGACCATATTTCAGGATAAACTGTTCATCCTGAAACGCAAAAGTTGCCCCAAGCAGACAATTAGTTACATAAATTTTATATATATATATATATATATATATATA